TGTATGTACCAGCGAAGCAGCACTGTCCATGCATCTGCTCGTGACAAGCGAGTCACCAATATTAAGTTTCTACATGTGTGTTATGTAGATTCATTATGTTGGAGTGTTCTGATCTGCCTTATTAGATTCTGACTGCCAGAGAATTGCCCACAAGATTCAGGACATTTATATGTAATAACATGATTGGATCAAGAAAAGTTTAGGTGGACAGAACATGTAGCACACATTGGCTAGAGAAGGAATACATACAGAAGTTTGGTTAGAAAACTTAAAGAAAAGAGATCATATGGGAGATTTAGATGGGAAGATAAAATTAAAATGGAGTTTGGAAAATAAATTGTGAAACTGTGAACTGTAGTGAATTTGTTCAGGGTCCAAAGTTAGGCTTTTGATTTTCATAACAGTAAATATCTTGGCCATCTGCATTACTACTGTGGAAGATTTTTACCATACAGTTAGGTAATTAGTTAACTAATTGATGTACTTTATTAGATGGTTATTTAGTTAATCCTCTGCAATGTCATTTAAATTCATTGTATAGTCATGCTGTTAGACCAGTTGCAATAAATGTCCTTTATATAGAAAAAAAATAATTTTGTTGATGTTGGTCTTATGAGTTTTTATGCAATATGGATTTGAAGGGGTTTACCAACTTTTTGGACAGACATTGCTGCTTCCATCTTAAGGATCCTGAAGAACAATAGTGATATCTTCACCACTTTGAGAACCTCAAATATCACTGTTAATTTTTACTATGCTATATAGGATTAGGTATATCAGAGAGGAGGGGGAAAGGGGTGGTTAGTGAGTTAGCTATCTGGGAATATTTTTTTGTACAGGTGACAGATTAACTAAAGTTCATCATGGCTGAAATAGTAGCCTGGCATTGGGTCTTAACTTGGGCCAGTCTAATCAAAATAAAATCCTTGCTGCTGTGGCTGTAAGATACATTTTTATATTGCCGTATGTACACTCTGCACCATCAAGTGTTCTCCTCCTCTTTAATTTTCCATACAAAGTTGTGTATGCATTTATCCTTTCACCTGTGGGTGCCATATCTTCTTCTTCTATGGCTCTCCGGTCCGTATTCAGCCCATGGCCTCCTCAATTCTCCTCTTCCATTCGATCCTCCGTTAGGTCCGTCTGTCCAAGGCTTTGATCGAGGTTTCGAAACATCTACCTTTTTACGGTGCAAGGTTGTTAGCCTTGCGACCAACCCCTAACCTGGAGAACCAGGGTACCTGTCATAGTCTGACCTCTCCCTCTCGACCAATCTAGCTAGGTAGGCCCTACCAGTAGCTCTTGGGGTCACTGAGGTACTCAAGCCCCACCACCATGACAAGGTGCAAGGTACCATTAAGTGGGGTGGCTACCATATGCCTACTTTATTATTTTAGAATCCTCAGTTTAATCGCCATAATGATACTAAACAAAAAGACAAACACTGAAGTTGCTATTAAGTTATTTTATTAATTTTAATATTGATTCAACTTTGACAACTGATATGCTGGTTGTATGTTTTTGAAATATGATCTCTTATCTGAAGGGAAGGAATTTGTAAACAGAGTACTTGGGAAATATTTGAATCTAAGAGGAATAAATTTACCCGCATCATATGGAATTATGGGGTTTGAAACCCCTGCTGCCTGGACTGTAATTCTGAGGTTTAATGGCTTAACAGTATGTTCTTGCAACATACAGCTAACTGGACTGCACGTAAGGCATGATGCCTGACTGATAAAGGAAAATGGGTAATTTTGTATTATTGTAATATTATGAAGTATGAACGTGTAGTTTGGATGGGAACAATGTAAACATGAAGCTTAAGGAGATAAGTTGTGGGGATGAAAAATAAATGAAGTTCAGTTGGGGTCATAACCAGTAGTGTGTTTTGTTATTAGTGATGTTACAACCTTGGGTTCTACTGCCAGAAAATTAGTTGGTTATTTATTTACTTTTCTCTTGCAGGACTAAGAAGAAACTGAGCTCGGCTTCTAGTCACAACAAAGGATTGGTACAGATAAAAGGGTCAAAATGAATACTGCGGAAGAAATGAAGTGTTTTTATGATATCCTCAGATCTCCAAGAAGCTAGACTTCGTAACTTTTTTACTTTTAATACATATGGCAATGTTTGTTTTCAGTTTAATACAATATTTGTATTGTTTAATTATTAGCTACTTAAATTTTGATATTTTGTTTTGTTGATTCACAATTACACCTTTCTTTATGTGATATGAAATGCTTACTGAATCACTTTGCTTCATTACTGCAACTTCATACAGTTTTAGTCTCAAAGTAAATGCAGAGTTAAACTCTATTATATTGATATTCAAAGAAGACATTAATTTTGTCATTGTAGGCATCATCATAGCTCTTCAGTAAAAGGTCATATCTTTCTTTGTTGGTCTATTTAAAAACAGTGTGTTGATAAATTATGTAGCAATGAGCGAGAAATAACGGGTTGATAATGAAGAGTGGATAGATAAGGATGTGAGAAGAAGTGACTGGGTATTACTACATGCAAAGTAGAATAATTTTAATCTTGCATCTTCATCCAGTGCGTGAGGGTCATTATGTAACATCAGAGAATCAAGATTATTTGTTCTCCAAGAATTTCTATCAAAATGATAGTTATACAAGAAGTTCCGGCAAGAACGTATGATTCATACCTTACTTCAGATTCTTCAATATACATGGTGAGTCTGGGAAGATTTATAAATCAGTAAGCTTACATTTCTACAGTTAAATAATACATCCCTCATTAGTTTTTCTAAAGTATGGATTTAGGCTACAATAAATTTTCTTCGTTTGACATCAAAGTTTTGTGACATCTTATATTTGTAGTAATAAAAAGATGAAGAATAAGAGAGTTTAGGTGTAGTGTCACACATTCTTAACAAGATGGAGGTGGTTGGTCAGCATCACACTCTATCTGATTTAACCCAGAGGAAGAGTCACAAGTAACCACTGGATATGATGTTGGGTAAGTCCCAGAGCCAGTTTGGACATAATGAAAAGGAGAAAAATCCCTGCCCTAATTAGGAATTTAACTCCCATTGTCCATCCTGTAGCCACTTGCTGTAATGATTGAGCTATCGTGGTTCATATTTGGAATTGTTAATGCACCAAATGTGTAAGTATTAGCACATTTATGGTCTCAACATGATCATTATTCATTCATTATTCATCAGCAAAGAGAAGCCTTCATATAGATTTTGAGCAGCTACCATGTTATTATGTTATTTTCCACAAAGAAAAATGTTATCTTCAAAACTTGCATATTGGTGGATCACCTCATAACACTTCAGACTCAAACACTAATGTGCTAGTAATAGTGTTTGTGTCACTAGCACCTTACAAATTTGCAAGGGTGTCCAACTGGCATTATTTGTAGTTGGAAATTATGAAAGTATAAAGGTGAGGTTGTCTTAACAGCATGTTGTTTATACCAGGCATCTTGAAAAGTCATCTGTTATATCAGAAGTTGTTAAAGGGAGTCAAACACGTGGACATGAAGCATGTGAGTGTATCATGAAGAAGCATAGGCCGGAAATGTCCCCGCATGGCAAATGACAAATTTGTCAGTGTTTGTCAGGGCACGCTCCTTTGTACTGAAGTGCTAACTGAGATTCGTAAATGTTTTGTTGGATCCATCACTGAGGCAGTACTCAAAATGTCATGTTGAGCAACATCTTTGTAACTTAGTTTAACTTTGGTCTTGTATTTTTGAAATCATAGAAGCATAGTGCTGAACTGAATATGCATGATGTCTTTAAACCTGTCTAAATATTTTGTAAATTGTTTAGTTAAGTGACCTTTAATGGGACTAGGATCATAGACAGCTAAAAACTTCAGTGCATAAATGAAATGAATTGCCCTGGTATCTTTCTACATACAATAATTTGTAGATCACGGTGTTCATAGAAGTATCTGACACGACAGAAGAATGAGTGTTTTTTTACTTTAGACCACGCTATACATTATTATTAGCCCTGCTAATCCAGTACATGGAATAATTTAAGAACTTCTTTTAGATTGTTCAGAGATGCTTAAGTTTGATAAAACTATATGATCTTCATTCAGTAATCTGATATAAACAAAGACAGAAACAAAGATATGGGAAAGAATCAAAATATTGAGATTTGAGATTTTTGTAGTGGTAAAAATGTGGATTATAGTCTTCATGGCTGTGACATTGTGTAGTCTTGTAGGTGGTTATGTAAGATTTGAAGCTTTTGTAGGGACTACAGTGAAGTCTTCTTGGGTGATCAGCCATGTGAAAATGGCATTGTAATCCATTGTTCTGGAGACTTTCTCTACCTCCATCATTAGGGTTGACAATCTCTGAAATGCACCATTCTCACATAACTCATCACTCAGGAGTATTTGATTGTAGGTGGTTATCAGTGATTTAGAGGAATGTGTGAATATTGTGATATTTCCTCTACCTACAAGAGTACAGTGGGTTCAGGTTAATTGGGACACATCAGGACTAGAACACTTTGGCGCAGTGAAGCGGCTGCCCCAATTATGCAAATTTCCACGTAAAGAATTAAAAAGGATTTTTATTTAAAATTTGTCACAAGTAAACAACTGCCCCTGATTAACCAATGGCCCAGTTAACCGGAATCTACTGTACATGATATTATAACCTACAAGATCACAACACAAAACCAAAACTGTGCCTTCTTACTTCAACCCATTCATTGTTATGGATGGAACAGTTGACACAAAAAGCATTATGGACAGAAATGTTATGCCAAATTGAGCTTTTATCAGTTTTATTAAAAATGGCTTATCATAAAATAGATTATCACACATAATAACATGTTTATTTAATTTAGATCTGAAACTTTTATTTGGAATGTTTGTTGGTATGGGTAATATCTAATGAAATACAAGCCTTTATTCCCCCTATACCCTTTTGGTAGCTTCAGGTCAAAAAAACATTTGAATTTCTTGTCTGGATTTATTATAACACAGGATAATTTTAAAACTGTTAAGAGAGTTCCTATGTCTGACACATGGCAAATGGTTATTGGGTTATAAAGTTATACATATATTCTTTATGTTTTATTTGGAAGATAACATTTTATAGTATATTATAAAACTATGAATTTAAAGTTTTCTAATGTGGTCTCTTTGATGCACCAGTTACAAATGGTTGTTGTTATGCAGGATATTAAATGTAAATTTATCAAAATCCAGGAATGTTAATAACAAAGAGATGGCAGGTGATTGCAGGGAAGACAATTTTATAAGAGAAAATGTGCCATTGTTTGCAATGGCGAACAGTACTGGTAGCAAAAATAAATTACCTCCCAAAAGTGGGTTTTTTACAAATGTCTCATTCTACACAAGGTCAAAATTGTGAGGTTAAGTTTATAATTTTATTTATTACTGCATTATTTGTCTCTCTTGTGTCCACTTTATTTCTTGTTCTTTATCAGACCCTGTTAATGGTGATCTGAATTGTGATATGATGACACTGTAGGTGGTTGTCAGCATTTTGAAGGATTATATTACATCTATCTTCAGGGTGGTGATGTAGGTGATACCTTTCTCAGAAAAACTGGTAACCACCAACACAGTGTCACAATCCAAGAGACTACCATTGACATCTTCACCTCTGTGAGAACCTCAAATCTCGTGTAAGACCAACTTTCATACCCACATGTCTGTGTATTTTATTTCAATTTAGTTGGCAACATTGTTTTACATTATTATAGAATGAGCTTTAATCAGTGTTGGTTTTCATTGTACAATCCTCGTCCAGTTAAATTGTGTGGGTAAATATTTTCTTCAGAATTTTAAAAACTCCAGAAGGAGCACGTGTATGGATTTGTCCTGCATGACAGCAATACTATTGTACTCCTGTTCCGAACCCTTTGATTAGTAATGTTCTTTGATAACTGTCAGACACTAGTTGTAAGATTTTCCACAAAACATGGAATTTTGGGACAACTGCTTGTGCAAGTGTGTGAGTGTATACTGACTCTTCATTTTATGAAAGCAAAGTATTTCTTTGGAAGCTGTTATTAAATTATTATAATGCTGAACAGTACATTTGTATTGCCACAGATGTTGGTGGATGGTGGATAGCAGGGGTGATGCTTTACCAGGGGTTTCCCTTTGAAATTACACAGGAAATTTCTGATCTTTGTTCCGAGGCTTATTTGGACACGATACGAAGGAGGCAGTATACAGAGGGGCACCGAGTCAGGATTTGACTGTATACGTAGGTATTTATGCATTTATTGGTTATAATAAAAAGTAATTAATGAGGGTTTTCTAATTAATTATAGGACTGGAGAAAAGAAACAAAAATTAAGAGAGAAAACATTGGTGAAGTTACATATTCAAATTGTGTTATGCATGCTAAATACAGACATTAATAAATTAGATGTGCTAACATGAAAAGTCATTAATTGAACATTCTTAAAATGAAGAGTTAATGTACTTGTAGAATTTAAGTTTGTAAATGTATTGGCCTCCTTGTATCCACACACTGTTTGGGCCGCATGTAAGTGTATGAATATACTTATCGAAGGGTTACATTGCCTTGATGGGACCAGACATATAATTAAGGAAGGGGTTTTCATTAACAGTTCTAACATAATTATTATGAAGATAAAACTGGAGTTACATTTTTGTAGATTAGTGCAGCATTCAAGACGTTTGCTTGATGATGGTTCAGAAATGCAGTATTTTTATACATAAGTATATATGTAGCTTAATGGATAATAGCTTTTATTTATTTTATATGTGCAAATACACTTATTAAAGATTATAACACTGTTTTAAGGAACTGCTGATTGAACTAAATTTTTAATAAATAAATGGACTCTACTGATGATGTAAGTTTACTTTTGACCATAATCATCTTGCATGACAGAATCATAAAGTAATAAAAATGAACAGTGAAGTGATATGTTTTGTATTAAAGCTTCAAAAATACCCCTTAAAGTTGGGAGGTCCTGAGTTCAAATTTTGCCCAAAGACCAGTAATCCTGAGGGTTTTCCTGGTATTCTTCAGTCTCTCCAAGCAAATATTAGGGTGACCGCTTTCTTCATCATCCATTCCAAGTCAACAATTAAAATCATCCTGTCATTTTGTGGTTGTAACCAATGAAAGTGGGAAAGTGCTGTTGAATAATTTGAGATTTGTTAATTCAGAATGTCACATACCACATTTTTAACAGACTCTTCCCCCCTCCCCTTTTTGTGATTGATCCTTTTGTCCCTGAAAATTAGGTCTGATATGTTAATTGTTTATTTGCAAATGTTTAAAAAAAGTGCACGTATTAGCATCGCCATGTGTATGTCAATCCACATATTGCTTGTAATAAGTCAAGTACTTTTGAACAGATCCTCATGAAATTTGATATTGGGGAGTTTTACAAAAAATTGTAGGCATATCCCAGCAACCAGTGGGTGGAATTTCCTGACAATAACACAATTGTTATGATATTCATACATTCCATAAGTTGTTAAACTTAAATTCGTCCGAATTTCTTCTGAAGAAAATCTTATTAAGAAATCTAATATATAATTTCACTAGCTAGATGTTGTATTTGAACGTCAAAATTGTTTGATCAGTAAACAGTACAGCAACACAGGTGATTGAAACAGTGGAGCCTAATGTTGCTGTCTGTGTTATGAAATTGTAGACCCATGGATAAATACCATTGTTTCAGAAAAAAAGTACGTTCAGCATCTTCACGGTTGAAATGATGGTGCTAGGAATTGGGAAATTTATGTGATGTCAGAGGAAGGGCAGACTAGGATGAAACGAGCCATCAGAGTAGAGGAATAAGGAGGGAAATGTCCATGTCATTCTTCAAGGAGCAAGGTTGGATGGAAGGGGGATATGGGAATGCCCATCCTCTGACCCTGGTAGTGTTAAACATGGCATCAGTGACGTCATGCCATTAGTGTTGCCTAATCAATAGTCCCCTCCCCTCATATTCTTTCTTTGGCCCTTTTCCTTGAACGCGTTTATGGTGAATCCTTCTGCGAAGGTTTCAAACAAATTTCCTTGAAGGATACACAGAATTTCTATAACGTAGTTCAAGTATGTCCAACCTACGGCTCCAAATAGATCCGACACCGACCTGAATTTGGCGCGGAAGAGAATAAGTAGGTCAAGGCTTATAACATAAGGAAGTTACACTGTAAAAGCGTTTTATGGCAAAATCTAAGTATAAATAGAACGATTTGCTGCAAGATTACTAACAATTGTGTCATCACGTCCTTGTTAACTGGTTTTCAAAACACCACTTCACCTTCAGTAACTGCATCCTGGTTTATAGTACAAGGTTCTAAGAAGGATGCCGAGTGTTTCGACCTCGAAGACCCTGGAAACTTTAGTGATGCGTAATGACAACAAATTTTCCGGGCTTTAGATTTATAAATATACCGCAAATAATTTACATTAAATGGACGAGGGTGATGGATGAATTTAATACCTGAGATAAGTGTACGGGTTTTTATACGCGCAGTCTGGAAACCTTCCGATCGCACCTCGTATGTCCGGAATGATTACTGGTTGCGCTTACAGACTAGGAGCGTAGATTAGTAATTTATTAACACGTCTTCAACTATATCAACAAAAATATCTGGTACATCCAATCAAAATGTCTTGAATACAACTTACGACTCTTAATGGAGTATTCTATAGTATGAAATAATTTTTACGGTAAACCATTTTTGACAAGTATAATGAAAAACTGACGAAGAATGTTTGGCATGCGTTTCTCAACTTTGGCTATTTTTAATTTACTGTTTGTAATTATTATCCCTGTAGGTCTATTTTACCATTTGTCGTGAACTGTTTCACCGAGTCTCGTGCTTTGAGATTAGAAATTGAACTGATGCCTATTCCTGGACATTTTCCTTCGTCATAGTTTAGAAAACCGCACGACGTTTCGGAAGCTGACTCTGACTCCGTCATCAGGCGAACAGCCTAATCAGTTGGGTCCACTGGAATGTGTTTGTCTCAGTCAGAAAGTTCTGATGAAATTATTGAGGTTACGTTGGGAAGGACGTGTTGCTGGAATGGGGAAAAATTCCTTGTACCGACGAATTCATTATTACCTTTCATAAATTTTAAGATATTGTATGACCATAGACAAGTCAAAACATAAATACCGGAAACATCTCTATTTTGATTTACGGCCTTTCAAATTGTTGCAAATTTATTGGGTCTTGCAGACAGCTGTCTTCCTTACAAGGGTTGTAAAATCAGGATTTTTTTTAAAGAGATTGTTATGAGGCTACTCAGCTGTGCGACAAAGCGATTCCGACGTAACGATCATCGCTGTACGTTAATATGACTGTGGAAGTTGAATCACTGTAAAGTACTATAAGTTACAGTTGCAACATCCCAGTGTACCAGAATAACGTCTCCGATTTGTACTAGAAGCATTTGACGTTGTAAGAACACGGGTATTACACAAAGTAAGAGATGAAGAAAACATCGTTTATTTAGTAGGGAAATAATAAAATAAATGTAAATGTACTAATTCATAGCTGATGTACAAAATTATTCAATGTCAGGCATTTCGAAACCCTGTCAGCATCATCAACTGAACTTAGATCGCTTCACCGTGGGTAAGATGCACATTTCTAGTTTGCGCAGTTCGTTTTGGAGGCTGTTACATGGAACTAAGTTCTGCACATTCGTATACAAACGGATTGACAAATTACCTTGGATCATGCATTTCCTTCCTTGTAGATGAGCATACTCCCGACGTCGGAAATCATAACAAATCACAACACAGGCAAGTACCAAACTAGCCAAAAAATTTCTACAGGGAATTAGCACGTGCGACGTATAAACTTCAAGAGGGTATATTTCAAAACAGACGTTTCCAGGTCAATTTGTAAGCATATTTTCATTCTTTTTTACTTGTTTAGGACTGTACAACAAACCCTGACATTGAATCACCCGGTAGACTTGTATTTGAGGAAACTCTTGAAAACTGTCGCTTGGAAGATCTAAAAGGATAGTAGGAGGAAACACGTGGCTCAAGATCGCCTCCGGTGGCGTGTTAAATATATACGGTTGAACCTTCCACTTCTATTAAGGAAGTGTTAGTTGCTTAGGTCATTAAAATTTAATGTCTGCTGGTACGAGGTTTCGTGAAAAGTGCACGTCCAAATGACTGGCAAGTTTGCTACAGCTGTTAACACTGCTTTATCTGCGAATGATTTGAAATGAGTTTTATTTATTTGTCGAATGAAAATTTAAATAGAAGCAGTAACTATGGACGTTGCTTTTTAGTCGTGCATCATATCACGTGTTGAATATATGTTCTTATAACATATAAAGAGGGATAATCACATTAGAATATCATTTCCAACACCACGTTCTAATCTGTTTCATTCATTCTCTGCACGGAGACCGAACTTTGATGCTGCCGTTTTGTGAATTAGGCAGTCGATTCAGGCGGTAAGTACGTACATTTATTACGCTGATAATCTAACTATTTACTGATCAATTAACCCCATGGAACAAGCGGTCTTATTTTATTGATCTGATAGCTGCTCAGTGGGAAATGCACAAAATATTTGTTACGGTTCAGTTTGGAATATTTCATCATTGTGTCCCATAAGAAACCTAAGGTTTAAAATATACTAATATACTAATTGTACGTGTTGTTATATATGAGTGTGAATCTTGATTTCTCACTGGAAGGCCAGAATATATACTGTGGTTGTATAAGAACGTTGCGTTTAAATTATTTGAATCTGGGAAAGTTTGATCAAGAAATTACTTGAAAGTAGTTTCATAATTTGAGTTCATCTCCTGATATTATGATGATTAGATCGATAAGAGTGAGATGGGAATGTAGCACGATGAGATGAGAAATTCGTAAAAAATTTTGGTCGGGAAATCTGAAGGGAAGTCTTCTGGGAGTTTTCTATCGTAGAAATTGAGAGACGGTTTAGAGGTATTTACTACGTCCATCATCAGGCCGATGATGAAGTTGGTAAAGAAATGCTTTTTTTACTGAGGGTTATTATCAAGAACACAACAGCAGCCGTTTGATTCTCTTCATGTGACGTTTCTAAAATTAAGATGTGGGGTGCACGTTTGTTTTTGTCATGCAAACTACATGCTCCGCCAATTTTACACTTGTCAATGTACTTATTCGAATAACAGGCCTATAGGACAAAGAACAAAAATTGTTAAATTTATAGTTTTGTAATTTTCTCAGTTTCAGTGGTTAGTGTACGAGGTGCGATCGGAAAGTTTCTAGACTGCGCTTATCTCAGGTATTAAATTCATCCATCACCCTCGAAGTAGTTCCCCTGGGAGTGAACACAACGATCTCAGCGCCGCTGCCAAGCCTGGAAGCATCCCTGGAAATCTTTCTTTGTCAGCCCGTCAAGCACCATCTGCGATTCTGCCTGAATCTCTTCTATCGTCTCAAATCTCCTTCCCTTTAGCT